TAGGCGGTGAAGATGGATGTTAGTGATGTTAGTCAAGGTCTATGCTGTCTTGAGGGACAAGTGAATAATAGGTGAACCTAAGAGAGGGGAGGGGGAGGGAGAGGAGTACTAGTCACGATACGTGGCTTAGGAATAATAATAGTGTTGCAGAGGCTTGTTTTTCTCTCACTACCTAGGATGGAGAAATAGGGCGTATGATTCGGCACTAACATGTTCGTGTTATCCATGGCCACTCGGGGTTGGGCAAGCTCAAAGCGTGAGGCAGTATTGTATATAATAACAGGAGAAGATGATCTGCAATTGTATGTCCTAGGAACGTCTGCTACTTAGCTTGTTCTTCGGGATTTTCATTAAGAATGGACCGCGGAGGAAGCATGATCTTATATAGGTAGAAAACAAACTTCGTGTAACACTCCCTATCAATACACAATGGTCCATCTCTTCGCAGCCACTCCTGCTGCCCAAGCTTCTAGCGTATTCAAGCTTCTCGCAAGCCAGATACATGCCTCATAGGAGTGGAAATACCAATTCAAATTGATTGGACGGGTTATCCGGTATTCCCAATCGACCCCTGCTCAGGTTGCCTTGTTATCACACTAGGTTACCTATCTGATGGTCCGCAACTGGTCGCGACCCACTGCTCACTCTAAATCTCATTACTAGCTCCAAATTTCTAGGGCTCACTGCGCAAAAATGCATCCCCTCTGCTACCAGGTTATCCCACCCCATCCCTCCTACCAGCGTAGAGAATGCGCCATCCATCCAGGTGATACAAAAGGGTAATGCAGAAGAGGCTCCATTAAATAATACAAACCGTTAATATATTCAACTCATTGAAATAACATGACATAATTCCTCCACGTGCTTCCATTCCCTATCCGTGAGGACCGACGTCGCGACTACCTAACATTGAGCGTATGTCTACCCGCCTTTTCTCACCACGGCATTTAATTGACTCGTGTACGAGTAGCTTGATATGCTAGGACATTCGGGAAATTATCTCTTATTGAGAAAAGAAAAAACCATCGTATTGCGGACGGAAACTCGCAACGCCTATAAGGGAGCTGCACTGTTGTCTGTTTAAATCATGTATCTCGTATAAAGCGATTGAACTGATCGACATATTGTTCTCTTACGTTATTGAAGAACCCTCCAGCCATGGGTATAAGTGGAATATAACGTTTTCGCCAAAAAGAAAGATACCCTAGGTGCAGATGATGGTGGTTGAAGAGAAGTAATGAATATCTTTACATCCTTTCGCGGAAATAAGTTATATTCATACACATGATTGTAACGAATAGCCAGTGACGTGGCTTTAAGGTGACAATAAGTACAGAAATTCGAGGGCTCGTTAAATAGTTGTGAGGCTGTCCACACTACGGTATTGGAATACTGAATTTGCAATGAGTGTCGTGTCCTACGGTTCAAATGGATGTTGAGTTATGATATAATTCTTATTGCCTGTGCCCTGTGTTCCTGTCTTTCTCTTTTAATCAAGCTTCTTGTGCTTAGTAAGCCGAATACCTAGATGTCAAACGAATGACCCGAGTTTAACCATGAGGCAATCCCCATATATGAGATTGATTCAAGAGTGGAATACATGGGTGGCAATCGCTTTGGCGCAGCCTCACTAGATTATCAGGCAGCAACAGGTCACCCTCAACAACATCTCTTGTTTAATCTCGCACGAAAACTAGTCGGGTTATCTACTTAAGTTATGACACCACGAAAAACAAATTCCCACCAGTATTCATATCTACCAACGATTCCAATCAAGGACATCATTGCGTCACGCCGCTCGGACCAGATGTATTAATCCTGGAATCATCATGTCCCGCTTATGGTGTAGTTCAACGGTCGTACTTGGCGAATAAAAGGTCATCGATAATTGTGGCGGTGAAGGTACTTACCACTCATGATGAGCTTCGAGTATCAACATGTCGGATCTAACTTCCATTGAACCACCTATATTAGACGGCCGTGTTTGATCCAGAGCTTTTGGCTCAGGAAGGGCTTTTTTTTCGGTAGTAAAAGGCACCACACCTGGGCAACGGGAAGAAATGGATGGTCCTGGGCATTGTTACTAAAATTTGCCACCGGCGAGGGTGGCGGTCAGCTCGTCCGGATCGCGTGCGCATTGGTTGCAGTTACACCGCAAACGATTCGGACATATCACGTCAGACGGAACGAATGAGGCAAGTTTCAATATTATAGCAGGGAGTGGCGCTTTCAGTACCTTGCTCGTCTTTCAGACGATTTTTCCTTATCTCCTCTCTACGGGGAATAAGAAAAAGAAGAATGAGTCAGGAACGCCAAGGAAACGACAGTATGTCTAGAGCTGGAGTAGTACTTTAGATCATTCGGCTTGGACTTACACTGGAAGTATATGAACTCGGTGTGATTATTTGCACCTATTACTCCTTTCGTCTTCATTCACCAATCACATCTGTGTCGAGGTGCCCATATGCTCGTAAACCTTCCCAAAGACGACGCCCATCTCCTCGATCTTTCCATCCAGGCCGGGCTGCTCCAAGCTCGCGAAGAACCTTTCGATGAACTCGCCAAGCGGCATGGCTGGTAAACGGCTTTTCAAGTCCGCGTTGCATGGCGATCGTCGCCTCGCGATGGGCCTTCTCGAGACTGGTATCTGTCTAAGGCGGTACAATCTCAACGACACGCACGTTTTCCCCGTTTGGCATTGCCGCGAGTTGCTGTTGCAGTATCTTGGCCAGTGACTGTACCCCGGACTTGGTTGCGCAGTATGTCGGTTAGAGGCTTAGGGGCACATATCCAAGCGAGGAGCTTGTCATGAAAGGGGTTGTCTCAGTTCCCTTGCTGAGGAGCTGGAATAGGTGTGGCGCAAAGAGACGGATGAGTGGCGCTGGCGCCGGCGCCGTTATGTTCGTCGTGACTTCGTCGTCGATGCCGTCAGCTTATTTTATCAAGGCATGGAAGATGCGGGACGGGCCGCGTTTGCCCCGGTGCTTGGCACTGGCCCGGTCTCGGACGGAACGGGAATCGTACCGTTCAGTATGTGGAACGCCGGCTTCGAGCACAGTTCGGTGCTACTTAATGTCAACCCGATGGACACGGCACGCGAGCTGCCAGGTTACAGCTCGTCATTCCTATTTTGGTATACTTTCAGTCTCTTCGCATCTATCACCCAACTCATGACCTTCCATTGCCATGTGGGAGTATCGACGGCATTTATAATAGATTATTAGAACCTTGCAACTTGTTATCTGCATCGTGCTAGAAACGCAAACGGCAAACGAGGCGAACTCGGGACGTAAACTCGTAACCGAGGCTATTTCTTCGTAAAGCAGGTCGGATTCTTCATCGCGGAGTGTTTCCACATAGGGCAACGAAGCCTGGATAAAGCGAAATCAAGACATGTGGAATCTGAATCAAATGGCATGACTACAATCAAACATGATTAGAATGAAGATCGCGTCACTTGACAGTAAGGGGAGCTGGATGAGTCAGCATGTGTGGGGTCTACAAAATGCGCCATCCACAACTTCAGTTTCAAATCAACATCGACATGATCGGAACTCGGTACCATCAAATGTAAATTGACAACTATTAGTATCTATCCAGTCTGATCTACCCCACCGCCCGCCAGATCCATATACTTTACTCAGGGTCGGTAGGAGTAACCGTAGTGCTCTGGTAAGTAGCGCAATCGGCACCCGTCACGTCAACCACCATCTGCGCCGCATCATCGTGGCCCTGCGCGCACGCGCCGCTCGCCGTAACCAACGAGCTGCCGTTGAACTGGACAAGCTCGATATCAGAAGCCGCGCAGTCCTCGGCTTTGAAGTCTGTGCCGTTGAAGCCCACGCAGGCGTCAACACCCACGAGATCCGGCCGGAAATCCGCCGTGAAGCTGCGCTGCACGCGCAGCACCGAGTCCCCGTTCAGCGTCGTCGGCGTGATCTGCCGGTCGGCCGACGTGTCCACGCACGCGGCGTCGACGATCTCGCCGTTGTTGCGGAAGGTCAGACACTCGTTGCCGGGGACCCCGCCGTTTTCCTTGAGGACGATAGTATTACCCGTCGCGGCGGTGGTAGTGTTGGTAGCGGAGGAAGTGGCGGCTGCGGCGGCGGAAGTGGTGGTAGTCGTGGACTTGCTGCCTTTCCTGGCTTTGGTCGCACTTCCTTTGCCGGTGTTCTGGTTCTGGCTCTGCGCGTTTGCTGCGTTTCCTGCGTGGTGGCGTGTTAGCAGAGATGAGGCTTCCTCGAGGTCGGTGGATCGCGCCGTAGAAGAGCGACCGCCGATAGCTACCGCGGAGGCGGAGGCGGCGAGGAGAAAAACGTTGAGGAATTTCATGGTGGTTGAGGCGTGTGAAAGCGCAGACGGGGATTTGAAGATTAAGGTGCGAACTGCGGCTGACGATAGAAAAAGTAGATAGAAGGTAAATACTAGAAGTTGCAAAGAACGAATTTGGCACAGCCAAGAAAAGAATGAAATAATGGACAAGAGAAGAATTGAATAATCCAAAACGAAGCATTATAGCCATATCTTCGCGATCAACGACAAGTATTTATATGATCGCCATAATGGAAGGGCCGTATCCATGGGTCTGGGTCCTGTATCGCCTCAGGGATCTGGATCATCAAATGCGACGGGGAACATGGGTCAATCTCGTCCCATCTTGCAATATGAGCTCTCCCCAAGCCCGTTTTGGGCAGACGACAGGTAGGCGACGTCTCACCATGTGTGAAACAGGGAGTGAATTTTTAAAACATGTAATGACCCCTTTCCCACCCCTGGCTAGAGCGCCAGGATCGAAATGGAGCCAAGAGCGGCTACCGGGCCGAGGCCGGTTTTAGTCACCATCCATATTCCGTGGTATTTTCCTTAAAATTATAATGACCATATAAATGACTTTACTACGTTGCTCCGCATATTCGTACTAGCTTTTACCATGGCCGGAAACGAATTTAAAGAAGGAAGTCTTGTGGATAATGAGTAAAAGAAAGAAAAGAAAAAATCAATAGCTCCACTCCGTTTCGATCGGAGGTCCTCCGGGTTATACAAGACCGGCGCGCTTCCATTACGCCATGAAGCTTGTGCATACTGCTTTTGCTATTGACGTGGAATTTTCTTGCTAGTATAGTAGAATATCGGTAGAGGAAAGTAGCTTACATGTATCTTCAGTTGATACATTGTAGCATCTAGCAAATTAGCAGTAACCACAACGCCTTGTCCCCTGGTCCCAAGCCATCCACTGGTGGTAGTGGTCCTGCGAGAACTTATCCAGTTTTAGTGCCGAGCCTCGTTGCGGCAAGTGACACTCCATATTCGTCATCTTTCGAGGAGCCGGGAAATGCCTAGGTGCGTAGTTGGTTATCAAAGAAAATAAGATGGAACAAGTCCATAGTTCACAGAAAGCACAACATCATCGTAGTACAATCATAATTCTGAAGATAATCATGATAGCAATATAGTTATTTCCAAGAGAATATATATTAAGTAAATCGTGATAATGCAGCTAGTTATGTAGGTAGGTACCTAATCATAACCGACCTGTAGCGTCTCGCCACTCCGTTCTGTCAAACTTTAATTCCGAGTCCGAGTCCTTATTTGTGACACTCCCCGCCCAGGGAGAAGATAGCCATACCAGGCTCGGTATGTAATAGCACCCGATTCCTGGATTGTTGTGTTGATCATTTATAGTACTTGGCTATAGCATCGCTCACATCATCCTGAACCTTAGCTCTGCGGGCAGCCTCGCTCGATTGTATGCTTTGTTTTTGCTGAAGAAGCGTCGTAATAGGAGCTTCACGATTGGCTACTCCGGTCGTATACTCCTGGAGCCTTTGAGCTCTAAGTGAATTTGGTTCAGTCTGATTACTGGCATGTGGTGAGTTGGAGCTGTAACAGATGAGGTGACGTTAGTTCAACCCTGTTTTGGAAGAAAATAAACCATACAAGGGAAAGGAATTGAGGATCAAGATGTTCGTGCAACCAGTGTACTCGAGGATGGCCTCCGATGATGATAAAAGAGGGGTGTGGTGAAAGATATCGAATAAACTTGGTAAACACTTACTTGTTCCCGTCAGACGATTGGGATTGGTTGTCCATGACCATTGAAAGCGAAGTCGCGCAACGAAAAGGAAATTATGAAATTGAAAGCTCATAGATTACACGACACAGTACCAATCGTCTCTATTTAAAGACCTCGCGTTGTCTCTTTTATCCTCAGCGAGAATCCCGGTGCCTATTACCCAGGGTTTTATGCATATCTCTTCCCCAGAAACAAGTACTGGAGGGTGCTTAGCACCATGAAAGGAGAGATAGACTGACTACTACACAGCGGCGTTAGGTTAACACTAACCATACCAATGGGCTTGATGCGTATGAGATTAAGTTACACGAGACTTTTTGGTCAGCATTAAGCGCGTATGGGGTACGTCTAAATCCCCCCCTTTAATATTCTGGTAGTTGTCTAGACGAGTAGGTATATTTAGCTCAAATAGATTCAGTTAACCCACAATCGTAACAAATTTCGGCGTCGTATTCCAGGACGACATACGTAATTCGAAAAGGAAAAAAAATGTGAGGTATAACAGCCAACCAGAAGTTATTTTTGACTACCTTCCTTGCATCTTAATATGGAGCTAACTACCTTTTCACAACCAACTTAACCAGTTCGCTTCATCGCATTTCCCGGCACCACGTTAACATGCAATCCCAAATGGTCCGGGAAACGGAGCCGAGAATTCCATTACCTCCGCTCTCTATTGTTTACCTATATATCCGAAAGCTTAAAGTCACGTTCCCCACGTAGTTAGATGGGTTTGTCTTACATCTGCAAAAGATCTTACCTGCATATTGAATCCTAAAAATATAGATGGAAACCCTAAGAGGCTTACTGTGTCAATTGCCGCTACCCCAATTCTGACGGAGGCTAGGCGTTAAGCATATATTGGATCGAGAGTATTGAAATACGTATGTCCGCTGCAGTAGAAGTAGCTTTATCAAGATATTCAAATCTGGCTGACTAGAAGCCTATTACATCACGCCTAACTTTGGTTAGGTACAGCTACGAGAGAACAATAACTGTCGTATTTATATCTCCACCCCTATAAACACCAAGATCAATCCAAATTTACAAGTTATTCACAATTCCACCTGTCGTGTTGTAATTCACCTCAATACTGAGGTGTCTTTACGAAACTCAACTGTAGCCAAGTTAGTGGGACTCTTCGTTCATGGAAATTAGGAAAACAGCCTGGTCCCCAACTCATTGACCCCCAGTCTACCTAGGTACTTAACTAAAACGAGCTTACTTTGCCGTCTGATTATACTTTTCTATCGCGTCACTAACTTCTCCCCGAACTTTGGCTTGACGAGCAGCGTTCCTCGAGTTGGCGTCCTGTTGCTGCATGAGGGTCGTGATGGGAGCATCACCTCGATCCACGGCTGTTAAGTATCCTTGAATTCTTCCAGCTGAGTATGAGGCGTGGCCTAGTGAAGTATCCGTGTTGGATGTAGCACCGTGTGGTTCATATGTCGAACTCATACTGAGCCGAAGAGAGATGATGATCAGTTGAGATTCGCGTTACATAGCGGAATTGCATTGGCAGTAGTTTCGAGGTATATAGAGTAAAAGAAGCGCGTTCGAAAGGAAGGGCTGGGACATACCTGGTCGTGACACGCCCTTAGGTTGAGTAACTCATGCTCATTTGGGCTCGCTATAACGATATATTTGATGGCGAGTGGCTGGTGGTCCTGACCTAGGTAGCGAGATCGAGATTTCCCTGATGTTGCTGTGGTGGTTATTGTCTGAAGATTTGATTTCGAGATGACGAACGGAGATGAATAGGGTTCTTATAGAAGTCAGTGCACCGTGTGACGGTGAAGATCATGCCACCAATTCCTCACCCTACGCTTCAGAGCACAGTGCCGGTGCAGGGACGAAGTCCCGTCACCCCATGAGAGAGAGGAGAAGAATGAAGTAAGAGTTTCATTTTTGTAAGTCGCCACATCACGCTCAGTAGCACTGGCTGAGCGCTTTCGGCATAGGCACAGTGCGTATGGGAAATGCTGAAAAGCATGAGGTCGTGAGTTGGGCTATTTTTAATCTTGTTATGATGTTCATGGCCCTATTCCTCTTCTCTTTTCATATATCTTACTTTCCAATGATTCGACAATTGCCTTTTCAACGGGATACACTGTGTGGGTAATGAAAAGTAAGGAATAAAATCAGGGCTATTACTAATCATACTAAGAAAACTACCAAAATTACTATACCATATCTACTAAATCTTATTAAAATTATTAGTTTTTAATAAATATTAATTATCTATTATATTAAGATTTTTTGGTATGGTATAATAGATAAATTATTTAGGAATTTAAATATATTAGTAATGAAATTTATATAAAGTTTTTAAAAATTTTAAATTTTTTATTAATATTTATTAATAAATTAAATAATTATCATATTAAGTATTTACTAATAGTAAATAATAGTAATTTTTACGATTAAAAAATTAAAAAAATTATTATATTTTTTAGAATTTAATTAGTAATATATATTTTCGGTAAATTTTTTATAAGCGGGTTTTAAATTAAATTAATTAGCTAATTAAATTTCTAAATAATAAATTATAATATATTTCTTAGGATTATTAATAGTAATAAATAATTATAAAAATAAAATTTAATTTCTTAATAATTATTTAATTATATATATATTTTATTTATTTAAAAATAAGCAAAATAGATTTTATATATATATATTTTTTATATATATAATTTTATAATAAATAAAAAATAAAATAGCTAAAAATTCATTTTTTATTTAATTAGTTTTTAAATTTTTTAAAATAAAAGAATTATTTTTTATTATAATAATTAATTATTATTATTTTTTAATTTTTTAAATTAAAATAAAGGAATATTTTTTATTATAATAATTAATTATTATTAGATTTTTTAATTTTTTAAATTAATAAAAAAAATGTTTTTTATTATAATAATTAATTATTATT